AATGGCCAAGCTCCATCTTATATCAGAGATCTGATTGTTCCTTATGTTCCTAACAGAGCACTTCGCTCTCAATCTGCAGGTTTACTAGTGGTTCCTAGAATTTCTAAAAGTAGAATGGGAGGCAGATCTTTTAGTTATCAGGCTCCTCTCCTGTGGAACCAACTACCAGTTTTAGTCCGTGAGGCAGACACCCTGTCTACTTTTAAGGCTAGGCTTAAAACTTTCCTTTTTGATAAAGCTTATAGTTAGGGTGGCTCAGGTTATCCTGAGCTATCTCTATAGTTATGCTGCTATAGGCTTAGACTTTTGGAGGACATAGGGACCCCCATTTCATCATTCTGCTTCATTCTCTCTCTGTTCTCCTATTGTGCAGAATCTGTTAGTTCAATCTCTAACCTTCTGCTCTCTCTGCTTTTCCTCAGAGTAGCTTTGCCTCGTCTGTTCCTGTTTGGCTGTGACGTCATCCTGGAAAGAAATATCAGCTGTGCTGCTTCCATCAACACCCTTGTTTATAGATGTTGGAGATCGGCCTGTTTTCCAGTGTGGTCCTGTTTCTCTGACCGTGACTGAGTGGATGTGCTCTCTTCATCCTCTGACATGGGAGCTGCCTTGGAGCTTGTCTGCCTGGCTGTGTGTTTCCTGGACGGGGCCGCCGTTTACAGCTGCTATTTGTATGTCTGCTTCTGTCTCCTTGAACCCCAGTCGGCCTCGGCAGATGGCCGCTCACACTGAGCCTGGTTCTGCTGGAGGTTTCTTCCTGTTAAAAGGGAGTTTTTCCTCTCCACTGTTACTACAAGCATGCTTAGTGTGAGGGATTGTATTTGAGTCGATGACTCAATGCAATCAACTGGTTTTCCTTAGATAGAAAACTTTGTATCGATTTGACTATATGATCTGGTTGAACTGTAAAGTGCCTTGAGATGACATGCGTTGTGAATTTGGCGCTATATAAATAAACTGAATTGAATTGAAAGAGGGCTCTGCGGTGGAGCTGTCGTCATGCAGCAAGAAGGTTGCAGGTTTGATTCCTGGCTTTCCTGCATGGAGTTTGCATGTTCTCCCTGTGCATGCACAGGTTCTCTCCAGGTACTCTGGCTTCATCCCACAGCCCAAAAAACATCACTATTAGGTTAATTGGCTTCTGTAAATTGTTAATATGCATGGTTGTATGTCTTTGTGCGTCTCTGTGTTACCCTGCGGCAGACTGGCGACCCATCCAAGGTAATAGGGAGCAGGATGGATGGAGTTGTGAAAGAGTCCTCATACGCTGAGCTCAGGCTTAAGAAATGGAGAATTCAGCTTTCATAATTTATTACTTTGAATCAATTTGACTGGATGATCTGGTGAACTGTAAAGTGCCTTGAGATGACATGTGTTGTGAATTGGCACAATATATATAAATAAACTGAATTGAATTATTTGGTCCTTTAAAGTGAGAAAACCTCAGGCTGAATCTTTTCTCTCCTTAATAACAGTTAAATTCTGTAGATCGATTTGGTCCTTGGAATTGCAGGCTTCATTCTTTCCATCTTCAGAATTTTTCCCAGATCCAGGGTGACCTTCACATAAAACACTAGTTAGGTTTCCTCTTCAGTCTGCCTCCATATCTGTAGAATGTGATGTTTGCAAAATGTTAGAGGAGTTGTTTAAAGAATAGTGAATGGACTTTGTAAACATGATTAAAAAACTGTCAAGGCTATTACTAACACCAGCTGATCAATCATTAATCAAACAATGTTTCAGGACTTTCAAATCTGCCAACCTCTGAAAGGTTTTACCAATTCAAAAACTACTGAAGGTTATTAGAATTATGTCAGAAATGGAAATTAACTTTATAGGTTTACGAGCAGAGAAAATATTTATTTTATTTAATTTTTATTTATTTATTTATTTCAGACAATAATATTAGTAACAAAAAAAATAAAATAAATAAATCAAATTAACAAATAATATAAATGAATCAAAAGAACAAATAATAATAAATAGAACAATTCCAATTTCAGAAATGATCAAATAATAACAATAATTAAATCAATTTCAGAAATACTAACAAATGTGTATCACATAAAAAATGATGGTAAATATTAATTTAAATTTCTTGTTCCGATTCGATTTAAATAATTTGAACATAAATAGAAATGCACTAAACAATGTTTACCCTTAACAAGCATTATATTTTCCCTAATGTCTGTCATTGATTATTTCTTACTGTAAATTGTCTGAAAAGGGGTATGAAGAAGTAGAACTTATCTATCATACCCCTTTTCCCTCTAGTTGCACTGAAAGCAACCTAAAAGTACCTTCCTGTTTAACATCTATGTTTTGTTGTTATTTTTAATTTTTTTATTATCTTTTTTTATTTTTATATATATATATTTTTTTTTTCACACCCACATTCATACATAAACATACCCATTTACATACCAATATTTACATCTTCACACATATGCACGCACACATGCCTACCTACGCACACATCTGGCCTAAATCCACATTCACACCCACGTTCCACAGCACTCTGAGTACTGAGATCCATCCTCTTCAACAACTGCAGCGTCAGGCCGCAGGAGCAGAGGACCAGGAGCAGAGGAGAGGGCCCAGCACCCCCATTCATACACACAGCATACACACCCACACACAGTGCTCAGCAGTGATACCATTCACCTCACCTCCTCATCACAGTACATTTTGAGGAACAACAGTTTGAGCCTTTTTTTAAACAGACGCATGCTTGGACATTGCTTAAGTTCTTTCTGGAGTTTATTTCAGACCCTCACACCACTGACTGAAATGCACATTCTCTTCATGGTGGTTCGAACCCTCTGGGTTCTGAAGTTAAGGTATTCCCGATAATCATAGCCCCCAACTCTATTAGTGAACAGATTTTGAATGTTCTCTGGTAGTTGTTTATTTCTAGCTTTATACATAAGCTGAGCTGTTTGGAATTCTACCAGATCAGGGAGTTTGAGGAGGCGGGACTCTATAAATAGTACGTTAGTATGGTCATGGAATCCTGCCTTATGGACCATTCTGATGGCCCTTTTTTGTAATGTACATAACGGACGCAGCAAGGTTTTGTAGGTGTTGCCCCATATTTCCACACAGTAATTCAAGTAAGGTAAGATCAGTGAGCAATACAGAATATGAAGGGCAGCATAATTTAGAAAATGTTTGGTTTTGCTGAGAACAGCAATACTTCTGGATAATTTTGTTTGAATGTATTTTATGTGAGGTTTCCAGCAAATTTTATTGTCTATCATTATTCCCAAAAACTTAATTTCATTAACTCTCTCAACTGTTACGTTGTCTATTAGGATATGTACATTAGTTTTGCAGTTTCCAAACAACATAAACTTGGTTTTATCCAAATTTAATGATAATTTATTAATATGAAACCATGTCTTAAGTTGACATAACTCTAAATTGATATCAGCTACAAGTTGATCCAAATTATCACCTGTACAAAAAATATTAGTATCATCTGCAAACAAAACAAATTTTAGTATTGTAGAAACTTTACAGATGTCATTAATATAAAGAATAAACAATTTTGGCCCCAGTACTGACCCCTGGGGGACACCACAAACAATGTCCAAGCATGATGATTGGAAGTCACCCATTTGCACAAATTGTTGCCTGTTACTTAAATAACTTTTCATCCACTGGAGGACTACTCCCCGTATGCCATAACGATCCAATTTCTTAAGTAATATTTCATGATTTATTGTATCAAAAGCTTTTTTGAGATCAATGAATACACCTACTGCAGATTTCTTGTTATCTAAAGCACAGGTGACTTCTTCTATCAATTCGATGACAGCCATTGCTGTAGATCTTTGTGACCTAAATCCATATTGACTTTCGGAAAGCAGTTTATGTTTATTAATGAAAGTATCTAATCTACCCACGAATAATTTCTCCAAAATTTTGGAGAACTGTGGAAGTAAAGAAACAGGCCTATAATTTGTGAAATGGTGTCTGTCCCCAGATTTATAGAGTGGAATAACTTTAGCCATTTTCATCTTATTTGGAAATTTACCCGATTGAAATGACAAATTACAGATGTAAGTCAGAGGCTGAATGATTTCCTCAATTACCTTCTTAATTATTGACATATCAATGCCATCACAGTCAGCTGACCTTTTGCTTTTACATTTATTGACAATATCTATCATTTCCTTTTCTCCCACTGCAGTAAGAAAAATTGAGTGGGGATTTCTGCTGATTAATCTTTCACTTAGAGCTCCAGTTGTTGAAGGATCTGGGATTTGTTCTGCAAGTAATGGACCCACACTCACAAAAAATGTATTAAAATTATGAGCAATGTCATTACTGTCCTCAAAATTGTCATCATTATTTATAAAAAACTGCGGAAAACTAATTTTTCCTGAGTTTTTCTTGATAATATTATTTAATACATTCCAAATCCCTTTAATGTTTTTCTTATTTCTATCTAATAATTTACAGTAATAATCCTGTTTAGCTATTCGTAGAATAGCAGTTAATTTATTCTTGTATTTCTTATATTTATTCTCTACCTCCAAGGATCTATACCTTATGAAATCTCTATAAAGTTTGTTCTTTTTTTTTGTGCTCAAACTGTGACGGAGTTTCCTTTGTTTTAATGAACTAATCTCATTCTCTATTCCTCTGACAGGATGGAAGGTGCTGCTTTATATCCACCGATAATCAGAGATCAATGTTGGGTAGAAACAGGTTCTCATTGGGTCATAAAATGATTCCCACTAGTTATCGTGGTTCTATTTACATTCAGCTCCGCAGCCAGTTTTCCAACAATCACCCCAATCAGATTCAGCTTCTTGAACAGAGTTGGAATTTTTTAACCTCCATCATCTTCCATCTTTCAGAGACGTTTTACTAGTTACAGTTTTACTAGGCTCCATAAAACCACACAGGTGTGCAGGAAGTTAGATGTTTCTGCATCTATGAACAAGTCTGCTCTGAGAAAGTCTTTTTAACAGACGGTTCAACATTCCAACAACATTCTGATGCTGCATCCAGCTGTAAGGTCTGAGCTCCTCTCTCAACTGCTGTCTTTACTGATCCTCCATTTCCTTCCACATCCCCGGCCATAAGTAGAGAACCCTCTGGAGGAGATCTGGTGCCCTCTTTGGTAAAATAGTCAAAGAAATGATGTCATCACAAAATAAATGCAATAAGGGTGAAAAAATCAAAGCTGTGAAATAAACATACCTCTCTGAGTTTTGTAGGAATTTTATCCATTTTCTTTTTGTCTTTGGTTTCCTGTCGAGCAGAAACACAGAAGTCAAGTAAATAACTTTTTCTAGTAATGACAGGACTCAGAAGTCTATTTTAGTCTCTTAAGAATTTAGTCTGTAAATAAAAGGAAGCTCACCGCATTATAAGTAATTTTTCTTCCAGAGAACAAAATAAACCACAGCTATTCCCACACACAACACTAATACAACAGAAATCCCAACAGCTGCAGCCACATCTATATTTTTTTCTCCACACTCTCTCAGTTAAAGTTGTTCCTTCTTTAACCAGCCAAAGGTTTAGCTCCTCACACCTGGAATCACACAGAGAACCATTTACATAAATTCATCTGATCAAACAAGTTCACTCCTGGTGAAAAATCTAGATGTGTCTATAGATCTATAGATTCTCTTACTGTGTGTGTGGCTGACAGAGTGTTAATGAACCATTAGAAAATGTTCCTCTGCTGCATTCAGAGCATTCAGTGTCTGACAGCAACGTTCCTGTGAGAATGAAGAATGATTTCAATCCACATTAACACTGATTCTATGTAGAAGAGATATGAATAAATAATGTATTATGATTAAAAATTAAAATGTAAATATGAAACCATGGTTGTTTTAAAATTTTACCTTTCTTGCTAATATATTGTCCAGGTTTACAGCTGCTGTGCTTTTTTGCAGCATTACAGCTGCCTTCAATAACATCAGTACAGAAATGTCCTTCCAGAGCTTCACAAACTGTATCTGATGATCGTGAACATCTGATTTTTAGCCTCAGACCAGAACTTGCCAACATAGAACAAACTTATTATGTCAGACAAAAATGATTTTTTTGCTTGGAATAAAAAACAATGTCTGGGGAAGCATATTTATTTAAGAGGGAAAAAAATGGCAAAAAATAAATCTGAAATTAAATTATGAAAATGACTATTTATTTTTGTTGTATCTATGTATTTTTATTATTTTTCCCCTTTGTTGTGCATGTACACAGTCTCCATTAATCCCCACATTTATTTGATTTATTTCTAGATTTCTGTCTCTGTTTGTTAATGAGGTTGGTGGTTCTAATAATTATCTTCAGCATGATTGGTTAACTGGGAGAATCAGACAGAAACTATTTATGCATGGATAAATTATAGTGGATACGATGGAAAACAGGATTTAAAAGGTTACCAGAAAGGAAGCCTGTATTAATTAGCGGAATCAAAATACAAATAATATAATTTGTCTATGGATTTTATTTAACTTAACAGAGGCCGATATGAGACCTTATATGCAGCCTGTTGGTTCATTTTTGTAAAATCTCTGTCCTCCTCGGCTCAGCTCAGCATCTCTAAGGAGTAGCAGAAAACACAGAGGCAGAGCGGGCAGAGCCTTCAGCATCAGCAGCTGAGAAGCAAGTAGAGACACAGCAGGTGAAAGATGATGAACAGTAGAGCAGGAGGAGAAGGTTCAGTTCCAGGTTTTCTCTGAGGTCATGATGTGATGGTCTGTTAGGATTTATTCAGACATCCTTCTGCTCTGCATCCATGTATGAACCGTTTGCTTCTGTCTGACTCTCCCAGTTAACCAATAACGCTAAAGACGAATATTAGAACCACAGAGACAGAAATGTGGAAATAAAAATAAATAGAAGTAGAAATAAATGAAGGAACAAAAAAATTGTTTCAAAAGGGAAAAAAAACATAACAAATAAATACATAGAGAAATACAAGCAAAGCAAAAAACAAGAATTAGCCTTTTTTATGACCACACTATATTTATTTTTGTATTTATTTTAGTTTTATAAAATTTTATGTGTATTTATATATATAATGGTGCATACTCTTTACCTGTTCATTTATACATTCATATGTGTATTTATTCATTTTCATATTATTTTTTTGTCATTTTTTTCCCTTAATCAAGATATTTGAAGGAAAAAAAAAAAAACTTCAGTGATACTGAGGAATAAAATGAGACATTTCACCTTCATCACATCTCTTGCATGGGTTGCAATGCTTTTTCCCAGTAGGAGTCTCCATATATGTTCCATCAGCACAGCGTAGACAGGATGTATCTCTGAACTCAGTGCAGTCTGTTTTCACTCGATTCCCTGTTAGAAAAGGAAAATAACAATCGCAATTCTGGAATTTCATCTTTAATTGCAAAGACATATAAATGAGGCAAAAGATCCAAAGCTCATCACAATAAAGATTTAGCAAGAAAATCTGTATTTGGTCACAAACAGTAGAATCCAAAAAGGCAAAATAAAGATCAAATTGATAAGGCTGTTTAAAATAACACTGAGTGTTAGTCAGACATTAAGGAGTGCTGAGAGCAGATTATAACCTTAAGGATTAACAAGATCATATAAATATGCTTTCTGTGGTTCCTTAACATTAGGGGACTAATAAGGTTTATTCTAAACTAAGAAAATCTGAAGTTCTAGCTGTGAACTATGGCTGTTTTTTTTTAAGGTAACCCTCTGACATCTACAAATTATGCAGCCTCAATATTATGGGCCAAATAACAACCCTTATAATGAGATGTTTGGTAAAAACAACATTCCTGTGAGCAAATTATTAATTAGCACCCTGGTAGTGTCACGGTAACAGGGTATTAAGTCACATACTTGATTTCAAAATCAAAAGCGACACTACACTAATCTATAGATTAGTCAAATTTAACAGATTTGCAAAATTAATCAAGGTAAAAAAAACTGCTTCTAAGAATGAAAATTAATATGTAAGTCAAATAATTTCTGACAATAAATATCTATTTGGTAAAAATATATAAATATAAACTACAACTTTAAACAATGATGTCAGTTTTTGCTTCAACCACTTCTTGATTAACTTAACTTAAAATATATGCTCAAATTTTTTTAGACTGAAACAGAAACACCCTAATTGTGAATTACACCGATAGCTAAAACTCACACATGATCTGGATCATTATCAAGTTTAATGGATGTTTCTTGGCATGAGGAGCACCTCTGGGAAATCATTTTAATAAAATCTATTCATAACTATTCTCGTTTGAAATCATTAAAATTGCTTTAAATTACTTTAAAAGCACGTTTAAACTAATTTGACAAAAATAAATGTAAGAAATACTTTTAGATCTAAAATTCAGCCTTTTGTATTGATCTCACTTATTTAACATGTTAAGTAAGGTTGTGATTGTGGTTATTATTATGAACTATAAAGAATTTAGGCTCTTGAAAAATATTAACTTCTTCTAGGAGTCTTCTTTCCAGGCCAAGGACCCCAAACTGATGGTGAGATGGAGCGGGGACCCCCAAATTATATATATTGTATGAAATAGTGTTCTATTAAACTGGTTCTATAGTCACTCTATTACAGACGCAGTAATGTAACTAAAGTAATCCCTCCCTGGGATTATTAAAGTTTTTCTGATTCCTGGTTGATGGGACAGGTGTCGTGAATTAAATGGTGTCCAGTTTGAAAGAGCTCCTGTGTGTCGCTGAATGTGTGCATTGATGACTGAAAGACATCTTCTGCCTCCATTTATCTGTTCACTACAGTGTGTTGAATTCATGTTAATGTTGATTTAAAGACATTTCAATTAGTGGAAAAAATTGCAGGGGGATTATAAAAAAAAATTCTAATCAACAAAAACTTTCGCGACCCTTATGCAATACCCCCATGGACCCCCTAGGGGTTGCGGACACCCTGTTGAAGATCTCCGCTTTAAGAATTACAGTCTACATATTCTGTATATAAAGAGTTTACATATTTTAGAGGACAGCTAAGAGTAAATCAAGGCTTCATGTGTGATTCTCAAATCAACTGGAAGCCTGGCAGCATAGAAGAATACTAAAACTGAGAAGTATGTGATTAAATAAAGAAGAAAAAGGAAAAAAAGCAGAAATAGTTTTATCTTGTTGAGTCTTACCAGCAGGGCACAAAGGGCAGCATTTGTTTCTTATCTTATACTCTGTAATGTGACATGTCAGGTCAGTGACAATCATATACTGAAATAAAATCACCTGTGAAGAAAATTTATTTTAACACTTTTAGTAAATTCAGCAGTAGAAATTAACAGACATATTTTCAGATAAAGATTAATCAATCTTTATAAGAAATGAAGAAATGTGTAAAGTTACATTAGCCCTGCCCTTCTCCTGTGACACGATTCCCATCATCACTTCTTATGCATCAATTAAAAAACTCATCCTTAACAAAGTTTTCATTAATAACTCAAGAAAAAGGAGAAACATAATAAAAGTGCATTTCATAGTAGGACCTCCTGTGATGCTCACCTTAAGACAAAGATCTACTGCATGGTAACAGAGGAGGTAATAATAGTATCAACAAAAATATACAATATGAATAGTGATTATTATTCTACAATATCCATCATTAATCTTTTCTTTACATTCTTTGTTTTAACCTGTTTGAGCAACAAGTTTAACAAGTCTCCAATAATGTTTCTAGTAACCCTTCCTCAACTATAACCAAGCCCACAACTTCAAACATCTGTTTAATGCTGCAGCTGCAAACGCAAAATAAAAATTAAATAAAGTTAGACACCCTTTTTCTGTCTGCAGGGAGGGAGCAGCTTAAGGAGATCAAGTTACTTGGGTTCCTGGATCTTTCATTCTTGACCCAGCTCTGATCGACGACTACCGTGAGTCTCTGCCATCTACTTCCTTTGGACCACCAGGAGGCGGTCGTTGAGGGGGGGGTACTGTTGGGATCTGGAGGTCTGTCCACTTTCTCCACCAGAGGGCGTACGAGATCTCCTGGAGCCGGAGCTGATTGCACCACCTATCGCTCGTCTGCTCATCAAGAGATCTGTATTTAAGAAGGCAGAAGACTTCTCTCCAGTGCCAGAGTGTTTGCCAGTAACGGTTAGCAAGCCTGAGCCAACCTGCCTGTCTGAACCTCTGACTCCCTGAAAGCCTGAACCTGACCTGATCTGTTTTCTCCTCTTTGCTTCCTAGATTGAGCCTGCCTGAAACCCTGAAGAGTTTCTCTGTCAGAAATCTGCCTGTCCGTTCTCTGAAGAACCCTGGAGATGCAGTGAACCCACTCGTGACCAGTCCTGGATCTGATAGCTCTGTGTGCATTTCTGAACCCACTCGTGACCAGACAAATTCCCCTCTGGATCTGTTCATTCATTGTGCTTAAACATTTCAATAAATCTTTGAACTTTTCTCCTGCCTCTGAGTGTTCTGCATGAGGGTTAGGCACCTTAAGCCAAACATGACAGAACACTCTGGCCAACAGACTAACCCAGTGGAATCACTCAGGAGGATGTTGGAGCAACAGCAAGCTCTGATTCAGAGCCACGACACCGCCCTCCGTGAGTTAAACACACGTCATGAACAAACTAACAGCTCATTACAGGAAATAGCCGGTTATCTTAAAAACGCTACACCTGGAACGAAGACCGTTCAACTTCCGGTTCAAGAAACAAATCCTCTACTCAGGTCAGAACCCGGTCCGTTGTTTTCTGAGTTCCGCCCTTCACTTCCTGATAAGTTTTTTGGCAATCCAAGTAAGTGTAAGGGATTTTTGTTCCAATGTAAACTCATTTTTTAACATTCCCCGTCCAGTTTCCCTAATGACAAGAGGAAAATAGCCTTTATTCTGTCTCAATTGTCCGGAAAAGCCCTCGAATGGGCGGAAGCCAAATTTGCTTCTGAATCTAGTTTTGAGTTTTCATTTGAGGAATTTATCCAAGAGTTCTTGCAAGTTTTCAACCAAGACACTGATAAGTCCACCGAATCTCGTGGTCTTTTGGAATTAAAACAGGGAAACAGAACTGTTGCCGAATTTTCAATCGATTTCCGGGTTAAAGCTGCAGCTTCCGGATGGAATGATTCTGCGCTCAAAAGCGCTTATTTTCATGCTCTGGACAAATCTATTAAAGATGAGCTGGCCACTCTCGATGAGCCAGCAACCTTGGAGGAGCTCATTAAGTTAACAATCCGGTTGGATAACAGACTGCGAGCCAGATTTAAGTCCAGATTTAGAAGCCATGCTTTTTCTGTTTCTGACCCAGCAGCTAAGACTAATGACACTACTTTTCCCTCAGTGCCCTCTGACGCTGAGTCCAGATCTAAGAGCCGAAATCCATTGTATCTGTCCCTGTATCAAAGACTCATTACGTCTCTCCCTCCTGAATCCTCAGAAGTAGAGCCAATGCAGATCGGTCACACCAGGCTCACATCTGAGGAGAGGCAAAGGAGAGTTAGGGGGAACCTTTGCATGTACTGTGAAGAACCTGGTCACTTTGTTTCTACCTGCCCACGTAAGGTAAAAGCCGGGGTCCGCCAGAGGAAATGAGGAGTTTGGCGGACCATCTTCAAACTGAGAAATCTCCTCGCCTGCTGTTACCTGCCACTCTGTTTCTCTCGGATCAATCCCTCACGCTTTCAGCATTAACAGACTCTGGTTGTGAGAAAAATCTAATAGACTCCAGTCTGGTTCTGATTGAATATAGAAACCACCCCATTGAATAAACCTCTGAGAGTCTCAGCCCTCGACGGTAAAAGATTACCTCAGGTCACACACCAAACTAAGCCGCTCGAACTGTTAATCTCCGGCAATCACAGAGAAACAATATCCTTCTTCATGTTTCGAACAGCCAGTTCATCCATAGTCCTTGGTTTTGAGTGGCTTCAACATCATAACCCACACATCAATTGGTACAAAAGACATGTTGAGTCCTGGTCTGCATCCTGCCATATTTCCTGTCTCCGCTCCACCACACCTTCGACTCAGTCTCCGGCCGGTCGTCAGGAGACTGACCCACCTGATCTTTCCTTAGTACCTCCTGATTACCACGACCTTGCACCAGTTTTCAGTAACGTTAGTGCTCTTTCTCTTCCCCCGCATAGACCTTATGACTGTGCAATTGATCTGTTACCTGGAGCTCCCCTCCCTAACAGTCGACTCTATAATATCTCCAAGCCCGAGAGAGAGACCATGGAGAAGTATTTCAATGGGTCTACTGTTGGGATCTGGAGGTCTGTCCACTTTCTCCACCAGAGGGCGTACGAGATCTCCTGGAGCCGGAGCTGATTGCACCACCTGTCGCTCGTCTGCTCATCAGGAGATCCGTATTTAAGGAGGCAGAAGACTTCTTTCCAGTGCCAGAGTGTTTGCCAGTAACGGTTAGCAAGCCTGAGCCAACCTGCCTGTCTGAACCTCTGACTCCCTTAAAGCCTGAATCTGACCTGATCTGTTTTCTCCTCTTTGCTTCCTAGATTGAGCCTGCCTGAAACCTGAAACCCTGAAGAGTTTCTCTGTCAGAAATCTGCCTGTCCGTTCTCTGAAGAACCCTGGAGAATTATTCCTGTCTAAAGATCTGCCTGCCCACTCTCAGAAGAAACTGGAAGGAAAACTCAAATCTGTTATCTGCCAACACTCAAACCAAGCTCTGCCTCTGCCTAACCCTCAGCCTGCCGACAGCCTCTGGACTAGGGATGGGAATCGAAAACCGGTTCCTGTTAAGAACCGGTTCCGTATTTTCCGATTCCATGGCATCGTTTGGCAGCTCACTGAACGATTCTTTTTTCGATTCCCGCAGCACCAGAGCCTAGAGCGCCGGCTCTGGGGAGCACGACTTACGTCACGTTTTTTACGTAAGTTACGTAAGTTACGCAAGTTACGCAAGTTGGAAGAACTATTCGAGGAGGAAGACAACGAGCTGCGGTCACTTTGTGAATCAAAGCCCCGTCTTTCCTTAGCCCAGAGGGTAGATCAGGAAATCCAGCTCTATAAAAGCTTGCCCTCCATCGCCTGCAGGGATAGCGCCACACTGTGGTGGTGGAACAAGCAAGATACGCTGCCCTTGCTATCTGACTGGCTGAAAACTACCTCTGTGTGCAGGCTTCCTCCACCCCATCTGAGAGGGTGTTCTCCATGGCTGGAGACACCATAAGCCCTGAAAGATCCCGTATCCTTCCAGAAAAAGCAGATATGCTCATCTTTCTGCAAAATAACTGTTAATTTTCCCTACTACTCTTTTATAATTAGTATTTTTTGTTATTTAAAATAGGTTATTATCCCATCATTTGTTATTAGACATTGTTGGTTATTAAGTTTGTTCTTGTATATTTATTTTTCATTTAAACACAGATGTTACTCCAGTTTCACATTTCCTGTGGACATCTTGATCTTGTTGAGTTTGTAAGATTGTGCAATAGTTAAGTAAACAAAGTTGATGCTGATAATCAAACTGTTTGTTCTCCTTTTTCCCCCAAATTGGTATCGAAAAAAGAATCGATAAAGAATCGAATCATTTCATAGAATCGAAAAGGGAATCGGAATCGTGAAAATCTTTTCAATTCCCAACCCTACTCTGGACCCTTAAGGTTCCCCCCCTCTGCTGCTCTGCTCTGCTCCATAACAGGTACAGCCCTGCACACTCTCACACTGCAAATTACCTGGACCTCCATTAACCCCTCTGCTGCAGTGAACCCACTCGTGACCAGTCCTGGATCTGATAACTCTGTGTGCTTTTCAGAACCCACTCGTGACCAGACAAATTTCCCTCTGGATCTGTTCATTCATTGTGCTTAAACATTTCAATAAATCTTTGAACTTTTCTCCTGCCTCTGAGTGTTCTGCATGTGGGTTAGGCACCTTAAGCCAAACATGACAGTTTATTTACAA